ACGACTGCCTGCTTGCAAGGCAGGCGCTTATGCCGCTGCGCTAAATCCCCAGCACCCGTACATTTTTAAAATGTAAGCACACCTGTATTTCTTGATCGCAACTTCTATTTCAATGCTGGGATTCAAATTTAAGAGTACCCCCTTCCAACAAGGAAATATTATGGCCCTTCCTACAGGACAGTTTTCTTCTCCTGAGCGGGGCTCTCCCGTCTCTCAGGACCAGCTGACTTGTGTTCAGTGGCTGTTCACAGGGATCTCTTCTTTACTCTGTCCTTTAAAGTGCTGGTTTGAGTATTTGCTACGACCACCAAGCTCTGCACCTGCCTCAGGAGGATGCTTCAGTGCCATCTATTTTAGGGCTAGTTGACTTGGTAGGTGTTGAATACCAAATGACATCTTTGTGGGGCTGGGGATTTAGCTCAGTGGCATAAGCACCTGCCTTGCAAGCAGGCAGTCGTGAGTTTGATCCCCGGTACCGATAAAAATGAAAAAGACAAAAAAAAAAATGACATCTTTGTTCCTCATGAAGTTAAAAGCTATTTGTTGACTTCAAATATTACATATTTGCCTTGCATCCCTCCTGAATGGAGCAAAACTCCTACTTAACAGTCTTTTATTATCCTTGCTATTATTCTCCATGCCAGGCTTTATCCCAAATAACCTGAGAAAAAAACCAGTCACCATAGATCAAGATGGTATGAATCTTCTTTTTAATTTTTTTCTTTCTTTTAATTTTTATTGTTTATTTAGTTGAGTTTTTTGTTTGTTTGTTGTTGGTTTTTTGTGTGACAAAGCTGGTCTTAAACTCAAATAAATCCTCCTGCTTCAGCCTTTTTTTCTTATTTTGATAATTGTATTGGGTAGTATTCTAGGCTTTTTCTATTAACACTGTAAATATTTCATTTCACTTTTTTCTTGCCAGCATTCTTTTGTACAAGAAGTCCACTGTAATTCTTACCTTTGGTCTTCTGTAAGGTCCTAGTTCCCCACATCTTTAAATATATTATTTGTATTTTCGCTTTCTGCAGTATGGAGATAATATTGCCTAAATATTATTATTATTATTATTTGCTTGAAGTTCACAGCTTTTATTACTCTAAACATTTCATCTTCTCTATTCTTTTTTCCCTCCTAGAGTTGCATGTGTCACATATTTTGCAACTTCTGCGCAGTTCTTGGAAGTGCTGGTCTGCCTTTTTCACTCCTTGTATTTCAGTTCATAAAGTTCCTATTGACCTGTCTTCAAGCTTGCTGATTTTTAACCCAGCCGCATCAAGTCTACTGGGAAGCAGCTTGCATTTCTGTTGCAGTTGCAGGCCAGCATTCCCTATTTACTAGTTTTTGTGCTGGCAGTGGTAACCTGTGCTTGCCTGTGTCTACTGGAGGCCCAAAGGTAGGATGTGGCTGATCCTGGCTGGGAAAGTAGGCGTGGTTCGTGAATCCCAGGACACAGTCTGGGAACAGTTCTCAAAGCCCTGCCTTTCTCCAGAGAATTTAAGCAACTGTTTGATAGGATGATCTGCGGGTGATGCCTACCAGGGAAATACAAAAAAAGGACAGTTGCCAGTAAGTATTTGCTCTTGTGTTTCTTCGAGATAGCCTACCCAATACTGTGGGCTGTATTTAAAAATATTTTTTTCTTTTTTCATTTTTGGTTAGCTCAAACTCACTCTACAGAGTCTAGTTTTTCTACCTTTGATAAATGTGAAACTTTGCCACCATTTATACTTGTTCTGATCAATTCTTTGGGACAGAAAGAACCTAGAAATCACCCCAAGAAAGAGTCTTCAGCACCCTTAAAACCCTTTAACATACTTTTTCCACTAGAGTCTTTAATATATTAGTTATATTTTACATTCCTTGTAGGATAATTCTCACATCTGAGTCAGATTCTGCTAATATTTTGGTCTCTTTCTTCAAACTGTGGGATTCCCCCCACCCTGGACTTTTTGCAAGCCATATGTCTGGGGAAAATTGATTTTTAGTTGTCTAATTGTTTCTTATTTTAAGGATGGGAGCGGAGACTTCCATGTTCTTTGTGAGCCAGAGCTGAAGCTAAAGTCCCCAGTCTCCATTTAAAAGCTGACTTCCCTAACAGCTCACTGTGATTGGTAAACCAGGGTGATTTTTTTTTTTTTTTTAGCTCTTCAGGGATTGGCATCATTTTAGAACCAGGTTCCAATAATCTACTCACAGTCTAGGTGTCTTCCTTTCATTCGTCAATAATCACAGGTCTATGAACTGGTTAAAATTAGATAGCTATTGAGAGACTGGGTTTTGGTGACATAGATTTTGCTTTCACCAGATAAATTAAGACTTCAGTAGGGTGCCTATCAATTTCACATACCAAAGAACCCTATAGATCACCTGGCCAACTGATGACTATGACGGTGTTACCTACCTTTCTCTGTTGGCTAGTGCTGTTGCTTGACACTATCAATTTGGGATTTCATCACTACCACTGTAACTCAGGAGCATCTCCAGTTCTTCTCTTCCTCCTCCTCTTCCTCCTCTTCTCCTCCTCCTCCTTCTTCTTCTTCTTTCTTTTTCCTTCTTCTTCTTCTTCCTCTTCCTCTTCTTCTTCTTGTGGTACTGAGAATTGAACTGAGGGCCTTGCCATAGAGCTACACACCCATTTCTATTTTTATTTTTTACTTTTGAGGCACAGTCTTAGTTACTTTTTTCATTGCTGAAACAAAATCCCTGACACCCACAAGCTAAAGAAGGAAAAGTTTATTTCAGCTCACAGTCTGTAGAGGTTTCAATCCGTAGTTGACTGGCTCCAAGGGAGGGTGGCATGGCAGAAGGGCATCACAGAAGAGAAACAGTCCATGGCAGAGCAGGCAGGAGGCAGCAGCAGCGATAGCAAGCCTCCTTTTCCATTTTACCGTATCCAGGCTATAAGCCTTTTGGGTGGTACCACTCATACCCAAAGTAGGGTTTTCCCATTGCGTGTACCCAGGACTATGATGAACCTATTAGTGGCTGACACACTTATGATCTAGCCACCTCCCCAAAGCTCCACTTAAAAGCATACAGCCTTTGGGGGAAAATCTAGATACAAGCTATAACAGGTATGTCTGTTACACAAGCTGGGCTTGACTTTGCAATTGTCTTGCCTCGACCTCCCAGAATGCTGGGATTATCAATTTGTGCTACCATGCCCAACTCAGAAACCTATTTTGGCAAAGCCATCTTATACCATTGTAAAGGACTACAACTAGAAAACTGGTGTTCTAAAATACTGGTGTCTCTCTTACCAATAGACTTCTCAGTGCTTTAGAAAGAACTTCTTTTAGATACTTCCTGGGGCACACTGAAAGGAGAGGGCATGTTACACATGACAAATCTATTCCAGTATGTCTTTCTCAGCAAGCCTTAGGGGTCATTATACCAATGAAGTTCTTGTACATTAACCCAGTTTAATGAAGCTTTCTGTTGGATCAACTCAGCAACCTGTGAGCACCATTGCTGGATGATTGAGCTAATAGGCTTAATTCAGAATATCGTGTCCTACAAAGATAATCTCCACATTGTTATTTTTTCTTGATCTAGAATCTATCCTTGCATAGAAATCTCATGATGATTATATTAGCAACACCTTGTAATATCACCTGCCCTCCATGTAAGGTTCTCTTTCAGTGTTAAATGTTTTAATTGTCTTCCTGAAATACACTAGGATCTAATTCTGAATATGGGTCTGGAAGCAAAGAAGCACTGGCATCCTTTTGAAAGGTTAATGAAGTCATTATAAGATCTTTAAACAAGAAACAGCCAGCCTCTCAAAAAGGGGGCAGAGGGTAAGCTGGTCCAGCTGGCAAGGAAGGGTCCATAGAATTTGAGCCCTCAAAATAATCACAATCATTGCAATTACCAAAATGCCCCATTCTAAACCTAAGGATTTCTGATTAATTGCAAACTTTTATATATGACTAAATAAGGCTGTGCCTTTAACTTGTGTGACAATGTGGCAATTTATAGGACTGAAAATAGACCTGACTTATAAATAACATTTTTTTCCTGTAGAGACAGAAGTTAACAGATTCTTTTAAAGCACTGACTTTGTCTAGTGTCCTAAGCTATAATTTCATTTTATAAACATCCAGAAGGAGGTAGCTCTCTGGCCAGTCTTTAGGGCATCAGTCTTACTGAGAGGATCTAACTTAGCTACTATTTTGTCTCACAAACACTTGACTTTAATAGGCATTTTAATTCCTAGTCATAATTTAAGTAACTTTTCCAATTTCATGCCTGAGACCATCATTTTTTCATTTCCCTGTAGGTCAAGGTCATCACTGACTTTTAATGTAAAGCAAGTCAGATAATTAAGTCCCACATCCTATCTTTGGGCATCACTTTCCTGACGCCACTTTGGCTTCAGTTACAGTCTCAGTTTTGGTTTATCCATGAAAACAACAAGAACAACAAAATTACTCAAAATATTTCACGTAGACGATTAAATGCCAGGACTATGTGCATATAAAACTACTGAAAGGACTGATAGATAAAGACTATTGTGCCAATAGTTATGTATTACCTCTCTTTAAAAATATCATTCAGCTCTGTGAGATGAGAAAACAAGCTCAGAAAGGCCAGAAACCCGCTCACCACTACAGGAGAAATCCCATTTGCCCACACTGGTTGCCGAGACATAAAATTGATTGGTATCAACGGAGAGAAACCAATTCTACCCTCCACGGGAGGGAGAGCGGTCTTCAGTCTCAGCAGGGAGTCTCAGGGTTGTGCACCCCAACCTGGGCCGGCGCGGCCCCACCCCCTGGCAGGGGGCGCGCGGAGCATCCAGAGCCCGGTCTCACCGGGGAGCGGAGCAGCGCGACTCGGCGGACTGGAGGGCCGAGCGCAGGGCCGCTCTGGGGGGCTAAGGAGGGGGTGGGGCGCCGGCGGGGGGCGGGGCAGCCCCGCCGTCCGCTCCTATTGGCCGCGGGCTTCCTGGTCCATCCCACCATCTGCCGCTGGGCGACCCTTAAAGTGTGCGGAGCAGGTGTCTGGGTCAACAACTTTGCGCGAGAGTCGGCGTCTGCCGCGGCGCCCATTCATTGCCCCCGGCGCCCTCCTGTCCGGCGGGAAGGGAATCGGGCCGGGCGCGGCCGGCACTCTGAGAACTGAGGCCGGGGCAGGGGCCGAGAGCGCTGCCGACCCCCGCGGCCGGAGTGGTGAGGGTGGCTGCGTCCATGCAGTCGTGCGCCAGGGCGTGGGGGCTGCGCCTGGGCCATGGCGTCGGGGGTGGCCGCCGCCTGGCGCGGGGCGCGGGCCCGAGCTGGGCGCCGCGGGGTCGAGAGCGCAGTAGCGGCGGCGGGGCGGGCGGCGGGACCGGGACCTCGCGCCTCCTCGAGCGCCTCCTGCCCAGGCACGACGACTTTGCTCGGAGGCACATCGGCCCCGGGGACAAAGACCAGAGGGAGATGCTGCAGGCTCTGGGGCTGGAGGTAAGGACCCCGCCTCCCCCGGGCTCTCTGGGGCTTCCCCTGCGCCCCCGGTTCCGCCCGCGCGGCCTCCTCTCCAGCCTTGCACTCCGCCGCCCTCCGCGTGCGTCCCGGGCCAAGCGCGGGCGAGCTTGCCGGAGATCAGATGCTGTCTCTCAGCAGCTTACTTTCTGCTACGAAACTTTCCTCTGGACCTCTAGCCTCAACGCAGTAACCGTGCAGATGAACCCAAATTTTGTAGGAAGAGGAATAAGATTCTCCCCCTCCCCATACTCCCCCATAGAGTGGGTTTGTCCGGTTGTGCCTAGTTGCAGACTATAAAATCCAACCCGGAGTGGCCGATTCACCACCAAACTTCATGATTTTCTTTCTTTAAAGAGTTCTGGTTTGCTTTTTTTTTTTTTTTTTTTTTTTTAAGAAAGAAACTCTAATTGGGCGATTTAAATAAGGTTCTCACCAACTTTTGTATACAGATGAAAAACAGGTAGTTCAGAGACATTTTCGGGAGCCTTTTGTGTTCACTGACTTGCGTTTTTGTTTCAGAGCATCGATGAACTGATTGAGAAGACTGTCCCCGCTAGCATCCGCTTGAAAAGACCCTTGAAAATGGAAGACCCTATTTGTAAGTGGCCAGGAGTGCACCCTTGGGTCGCCTTGCTCTGGCCCTGCTTACTTTCTGGGATCTCTGCAGGTCTAGTTCCCGGGTAGGATTGCTCGGAACTGTTAGTGAGATTGACTAAAATGAACAGCAGCGGTTACTAGAGCAGGGAGAAAGAGTTAAGGTAGCGAGCTGCTTTCTCGATTTGCCAGGCACCTCCAGGGCAGGCTTCTCCTATCCTTTGGGTGGAGAAGTGCTGTTACCTCCTTGCAGATCTGGATAGACTCAAAAGGAAAAAGAAATTGCCTGAGATCATGCCACTGGGGAAGCCACAGATTGGGAGTGGGGACCAGACCGCTGGCCTCTGTAGCTCAAGCTTCATGTCACCACGGATAGCTTTGTGTTTTTTTTTTTTTGTTTTTTTTTTTTTTTGTCTTTTTCCTTTATCTCCAACTTTTATTGCCTTCTGAAAAGGGTAGTTATTTTTCAGATCTGATTGTCTTTTATGTGCCTGTGCGGGCGTGCGTGTGCGTGTGCGTGTGCGTGTGTGTGTGTGTGTGTGTGTGTGTGTGTGTGTGTGTTAGAGGTTTGTTTTTGAGATCCAGTCTCACTGGGTAGTCCAGGTTGGTGTGGATTGGTGATCCTTCTCCAAGTGCTGGGATTACAGCTGAGTGGCACTTCGGCCCCTTGGAGTCCTGTGTTTTTATGTGAGTATTTGGCTTCCATCTTGATCACGAAGACAGAACTGAAGAGCATCTGAAAAAGATCTCAATTGATTGTCTCACTTTCAGTCACAGAGATACATATTTACTTCTGGAGTACAGTGATCTAAGAGCAGCTGTTTTGTTTCCCTGATATAAGAAAGGATTTATAGAATGAAAGAATTGTTTTAAAGTGGATAACCTGACATGATCAAAACACATTATGCACATTGGGACAGAAAAAGTGAAACAAGGGGAGACTAAATAGGAATGGGGCAATGGGAGGAAAATGATTAGAGTGTCAATCATGCACGGAGCTGTCAAGATGAAGCCATTAGTGTATATAACCCAAATGCAGTAATAAAACCTGTGATAAAGGAAATAAAATGAATGGAAAGAAAAAACTGAAGTGGCCCACTGGAGATAAGGAGTCTGCCCCGGGGCACTAGTTGGGCAGTGCTGTTCCTCCAGCAATGCAGGAATGCTGCCTTTCTTTTCAAGTCCCTAGGCCCGGACTTGCTCAGAAAAGGGGGTCTGCCCCTGTTGTCTAGTTGAGCTTATTGAATCCCAGATATAGCTGGAAGCCTTGTCTGTCAATTTTAGAAAATCAGAATTCTGATTCACGGGCTTTAGGAAAATTGTGTTTGTGTGTATATTTTTAAAGCAAGTTATAGGTGAGTATTTGAAGGAGTGAATGCCTTCTTGAGACTTTCCAAGTCAGAGAATGTTTAGACCATCTCCTTTTAGCTAGATGCTCTTTGAAGAGTGTTAGTGACTTGGAAAAGAATCAAAGTTACATGTCCTATTTTAGTTTACCTGTTTGACCAATTTGACCATCAGGTGACTCTTCTCCCCTCTTGTTGGAAGCAGGCACCTGATAAGTAATTTGCCACTTGAGTGTAAACTTTAAACCTAGCAGTTTTAATGTGATTTTGGGTTGGTTTCATCTGGTTGATCTGAGGTGACTCAGGGAAAATACTGCGTAGTCAGGAGTACCCTTTGCTTTGATGCACGCTTGCTTCTTGGAACTGTGAACAGAGTTGGAGGGAAAGTGGCAGAGGATGTGTTTGCAAGACTTGCACATTTTGTTCCGAGTATGCATTTATTGTGGATAATGAATGCTCTCCAAGTGGGGACAGTGAATTTGTTGATTAACCTCTACTAGCATTTCATTTAATGATGTAGCAGCAATATCCAAATTTATTCCATGTGAGTGCTGTGTTCTAGCTCAGTCAAAGATTTGGACAAAGTATTTACCATGTACAGAGATAACTAATAAAAGCAAGTTATGACAGTCTTAATTGCTTTCCTTGCTGCCTAAAAAGATTGTGAAAGTTGTAAGCAGCGGAGGCATTTGGGTTTGTTCTTAAGCATAATTGAATCAAGGTGCTTTTCATGTCTTTAGTCCTTATTACAACCTACATGGCAAGTACCATTATTTTGCCACCCCCACACCTTCTCCCCCCTCATACCAGGGATTGAGCTCACAATTTTGCACTTGCCAGGCAGTAATCTGCTCCGATGAACTATATTCCCCAGCCCCTCCCCTACTTTTTTTTTTTGTCTTTTTCGGTACCAGGGATCGAACTCACAACTGCCTGCTTGCAAGACAGGCGCTTATGCCACTAAGCTAAATCCCCAGCCCCCACCTCCCCTACTTTTTGAGATGAAATTTGCCTGTTGCTCAAATGGGTTTTGAATTCAAGGACGCAGGTCTCCTACTCTCATTTCCTTACCCGACCTGTGGCATTCCAAGTAGCTGGGAATACAGGCAATGCCAGGTTATTATATGTTACTTTTTTTTTTAATTTTAAAGAGAATAAACAAAATAGAGTAAAGCCAGTCAAAATAGAACAATGATTGTGATAACAATGGCTACCATAGTGTCTTTTGTTTTCTTCAAAACAGCTGTGCATACCACCAGACATAATAAAATCAAACAAAACAGAATAAAACCAATCAAAACAAAACAATGGAAGCATTATAGGACTTCAAAACCCAATAGTAGGAAATCAACAATGGGAACCATAATATATCTTATTATTGTCAAAATAGCTGCCCATACCATCAGATATAATAAAATGAAACAAAACATCTCAGAATAAAATGAAACCTAACAAAACAATGAAAACAATACAGGAATTTGAAACAAGATAATAGGAGATTAACAATGTTTACTACCTTTCCTTTTTAGATATTTTCTCTTCTATCACTTTCAAACTATCAATTGTACTTTTTTTTTTTTTTTTTATCTTTTGGAGGCAGGGTCTCTCTATGCAGTTCAGGCTGGCCTTGAGCTCACTTTGTAGCCTAGCCTGGTCTTGAACTCACAACGATCCTCCTGCCTCAGCCTCCCAAGTGCTAGGATTTTTTTTTTTATTGGTACCGGGAATCAAACTCATGACCACCTGCTTGCAAGGCAGGTGCTTATGCTTCTGAGCTAAATCCCCAGCCCCCCAAGTGCTAGGATTACAGGCATGAGCCATCACACTCGGCTACTGTTGTACATTTTGGATCCCACTAATTCCTCCAGTTTTTTTATGCTAGGGAGACAACACGATGTTCACCCTTAAGAGTCTGAACCATTTTACTCATGAGCATGATCTCAAGTTGCATCCATTTACCTACAAGAACCTCAAGATTATCCTGAGTAATTCTCCATTGTATAAAAATATCATATCTTATCCATTCTGTGGTTGATGGGCAAGCTACCCCTACTTATTCTGATTTCTTGTTGCATGGAACATTCATTGCTTTATCTCCTTTGACTTGCATTCTATGAGTATCCTTTCGAGTTAAAATATGTTTCATGTATACATCATATTGATGGATCTTGTTTCTTGATCTGCTCTCCCTGTGTTTCTTTTTATTGAAAAATTAAGGCCATCTACATTAATGGTTATGATCAACATGTACTGCCTCATCTCTGCCATGCTATTCTCCTGCTGTAGGCACCCCACTTTTCCTTTCCATTCAGTTGCCTGCCCTGTTTGGTGATCCCCCTCCGCTGCTGTTCCTGGAACCATGATCATCTTTTATCTCTCTTTAGAATGTCCATCAGCACTCTTTGTAGGGTTAGTTTGGTGGTCATGATTCAGTTGTTTTTTGTCATGGAAGTATCTTGTTTCTCTATTAATTTTGAAAGATAGTTTTTCAGGGTACATCAGTCTGGGTTGGAAGTTGTTTTCTTTTAGGATTTGAAACATTTCACTCCAGGCTCTTAACTTGATGGTTTATGTTGAGAAGTCTGTTATGATTCTGATGGGTTTTCCTTTATAGGTGATTTGTTTCTTTTCTTTTCTTTTTTTTTTTTTTGATTTGTTTCTTAATAGCCTTTAACATTGTTTTTGGCTGAATTTCTGGGATCTTGGTTATTATATATCTGAGTGTAGATTTATGAGTGTAGATTTATTTTGGTTATGGCTAATTGGAGTTCTGTATGCCTCACTTATCTGTATATCAGGTCTTTTCCCCATGTTTGGGAAGTTTTTTGCTGTTATTTATGTAAATAGTTTCTTTATGCCATTTGTGTTGACTTCTGCTTTTTCACTGACGTCTGTCACTCTTTATTTTTCTTCATGTTGTCTTGCAGGCGTTGAATTGGTATTTTGTAGTTTGTTGGGTTTTTTTATTTTAAAGAGAATAAAACCAAGCAAAATAAAACAATAAATCCAATCAAAGCAAACCAGTGTAAGTGACACAGGACTTCAAAACATTAGGAAATCAACAGTGGTTACCGTAGTGCCTTTTGTCTTCAAAATAACTGCAGATACCTTCAGACATAGTAAGAATCAAACAAAACAGCAGAACAGAACCAGTAGAAACAAAACAATGAACACAACAAAGGACTTCAAAACATGTATTAGTAAATCCAAAATGGCTACCATGGCATAGCTTGTTATCTTTGAAAAAGCTGCCCATGCCATCAGATACAACAAAATCAAACAAGATTACAGAATAAAACTCAACAGAACAATGAAAATGATACAGGACTGCAAAAGAAGATAATAGGGAATTAACAATGGCTACTACTTGCAGAAGGAGAGCCTCCATAGATGCAACATTGCATATTGTTATCCTCTCAATAGATGATAGATTACTGGCTTTAGACCTGCAGAGTCTATGAAACACTACAAGCATTAAGTTGTATTTTACCTCAACAGCTATCTCGAACCCTATATTTCTCCAGGTCAGCAGGTCACTTATGATGAGGGGTAGGGAGGTTGGCTCTTCTTGTTCCCCAACCCATGCGCCCATGTACCTGAAGGGGCTGGAATCTGGTTCCTTGCAGCAGCCAACGCATGGCACTGATTTGCAGGGAGG